CAGGCAGATCAACGAAGTACACTGCTGAGGGGAGCAGCGGGCGGGTCAGGAGAGGTCTGCCGCACCATGTGGTCACCTCCGGGGCAGGCAGGAATCAAACTCATGCGGGGCAGGCAGGAATCGAACTCATGCAGAAGCGACTTTAGATTCTGTGTTGTGCTTTAACCCTCTGCCCCACCAGGGAGGGCCAGGAAGCTTATATTCTAATGAGAGGAGGTTAACTGGGAACCAAATCAGTCAGAAAAATGTGCAGCACATTGAGAAGTCCAGGAGGCAGGGCACATCCTGACTGGGTCACGGCTGTAGTTTGAGGCACTGCTCCCTCCTCTTCTAGGACCTATGTTCTCATTCCTACTGAAGAGTCAACAAAACACAGATCTTTTTCCCAAGACAATAAAGTATTCAAGTGATTATGGCAGAGAGAATTTTTCCTAAGAGCTTTGTCAAGGTACCTACACTTTTCTCTTCCATTTAAATGTGCTCCCAAATTCCCATTGGCTAGTTTGTGTTCACAATGTGTTCAACAGTGCACAATTAAGGGCCCTTCCTGGTGGCACAACAGATTAGGACACAGCACTGCAAGCTGGCCACAGCCGTTTCAGTGAGAGTTCCATCCTGGCTGCAGAGGTGACCCACATGGCACAGCAGACATCTCCTGCTGCTCCCCATCAGTCTGCCTGTTCTGCTCTCTGGTGAATCCTCTCACCGTCCCTGCACCTCTGGCCTGTTCTGTATGCATAAATAAATAAATCTTAGGAAAAAAAAAAAAAACAGCGCACAACTAACAGACATTTAAAACTCTCCTTGATTCTCATTTTTCCCATTTTCCCTTCATGTTTCTAGATGTTCAGTTTCTATGGCTTATCTTGTACAGGATCTGTGAATAATGACATTTATTTTATCATAACAGGAAACATCATTATGCTATTATAAATCTTAATCTACTGCTCTCAATGAAAGTAAACTGACTTTAGGGGCTTGAAATGCTAAAGAAATTGGTGGTATATTTGACTTAAAAGAGAAAACAATTAAACATGAACCTGTGTCCACATTTATAAAAGAAACTGAGAAAATATTGCGAACACCAAAAATTTTTTAAAGAAAGATCTAGTTACAGACTTCAATTTAATATGACACTGACTCAAATACAGTAAGTTCTTCTGTCAGAGTCATTTTCTGTTTTCTGCAAAGTCCAAGTTACTCTTGTTTATTCCACTTTACAAGACAGTCATTGTGGAGATGGAATGGATTTGTATACTTGAAAGTCACTCAAATCAAAATGTAACAAGGGCCATGCAGAGATAAAATAAGGGAATTATTCAAACAGTCTCTTTCCTCCCTTTTGACATGCTAACAAATTTCAACTAAATGTCAACATCTAAATGTGAATACCCTCAGTCAGTCAATGGCCAGGTAACCAAAATTCACTGCAGGTAATTTTGTTTGTACAAACCAGAGGAACTTCATGAAGTAAACTAGGCTCTACCAATGTGAGAGAATATCACCCAACCATCAAATATAATGTTTTTATTGGCATGGTAAGATGTTAATAAAATATCAGTAAAACACACACACACACTGTTGAAATATGTATATATGTGCAAATATTGAAAGAAAGGTATATAGACACAAAGGAGATATTTTCAAAGGAAGACTATGTGGGAAAATTCTCAGGCTCTTAGAAAAATTTATATATTTTCTGAGATTGCTCATGCTAACATTTTTCAGTTGCCCAAATAAGCTATACATTAAAAATTCTAGGTTCTTTGCAAATGGAATTCTCTCTCCAGTTTGCTTAGAAAGCCTTATGGCGTGGTGAGCACAGGCAGGCCGCTGAGAGCCTCTCACAGCAGTGACATGTGCCTTGTTTCACAGCTCTGAAGTATCCACTTTCAAGGAAACTGAGAGGCTGGAGGACAGATGCAAGACTCCACGTCAGAATTCTAATTTGATGGTTAGGGAAGATCTACTTTACCGGTACTTTACAAAAGCAAACTACTAGTCACCAAGCCACTTAAACATTCCTGTATTTCTTCAAATAATTCCTGCAGTGTTTAGCAAGTAGATGAAATGGAGCTAGGCATACAAATTTTCTCCAGTTTTGCTCCTTCAGAACTAAGTATTCAAGCCTGGGAGGTACAGTAAAATCACGCATGAGATTATTTTAAAAACAATATGCCATGGTTCCTCCCCAAGACAATCCAGTTTCGTAGAGACCCGGGGAACTAGTCTGTAATAACTGCAAAAGTGATTCTGAGGCACTTATTATTGTTAGCTCAACTAAACTCCCACTAGGTGGCACCAATGCTCACCCAGAAAAGGATGGCTGAAAACTGCCAAAAGTCTAAAACTACACGGTGCTTTGTACTTTGGACGTGCCCACCTTCATACTACATGTATATCAATTTATGATTTAAAAATAATGAACAGAAAGGTAAAAGTATCTTTTTTACTCACTGCTCCACAATATGGTCCAGAGGATGGAGCGTTAGCACTTGGTCCATCATAGAGTAAGAGATAGTTCTGGACACAGTCTCCAGGATCGTCAATGCTGACAAAGTAGAAGTTGATGGTGACAAGCCTTCCCATAGGTGCAATGACGACCCACTCACAGTGTGTGTTGTTTGGGTAAGTGCCAGGGTATCCCGGGCTGGTGAAGGAACCGCTGTCTCCATAAAGAGTCCCGCCACAGCCTGCAGGAAAAAATCGTAGAAGTTTGATTCAATACCGTAGAAACCATCCAGTTTGCTTTTGTACATATGTAAGGCAACCAGACCGTCTTCATTTTCTCAAGCGGCTGAGACAAATAACTGATAGCATCACTTATAGGTGAGACATAGAAAATCCAAAGGGTCTGATTAAACCAAAGTTGAAAACTAACCTGGAAAGCTGATTGCAGAACTAAGGAACCCAGAGAGGAGGAGAGGAGAGGAGTCTACGGTGGTGGACTGGGGTCTTTTCTGGACAAGTGCACTATGGCAGTTAACACCTGAAGGGGGCATCCTTACCTGTACTCCCCAAATACAAATGACAATGTAAACCGACATAGCCTTAGTATGTGTGTGTGTGTGTATACATGTCGGTTTACATTGTCATTTGTATTTGTGTGTACACACACACACATGTATAGTGTGTATTTGTGTGTGTATGTATACATATATATAGTGGAGGCAGAAACCGTTCCCTGTTCTTTCTTCAGGCTAACTCCTTTACCACCTCTCCATTGCCTCCCACCCACATCAGAGATTCCTTTCCCTGCATATTGCCACTTAGACTTCCTCTGGGCCTCTGCTTTGTAAATAGTGGGGTGAGAACACTATGCGAAAACAAAGAAATTGATAAGGTAACTGCAGAAGAGAATGCTATCATTAAAGTTGCTGTGCACTTGAGATGGCGCAGAGCTCTCCACAAGCAGCAACTTGAGATAATGTTGTCAGTGAAGTAAAGTTAGATGTGAAATTCCAGGTACAAATAAAAATGAGTGTGTTATTGGAGCTTTCTACAGTAATTAGTTTATTATAAAAGTGAGTTTAGCAGAATTAAAATGGACAGTTTCAAAACCGACAGCCCTCAAGTCAGAAAGCTCTTCAAGTGCCATGTTGAATGTGCTCCTTTGTATGTGAGTGCTATGGTTTATATCTAACGGTCATAGGGATCCAAATCCCCTGCAGAATGTGAAGGAACTACATGGAAAAATTAAGAAATGCCAGGCTTATGTCGCCCTGAGCTGGGTCCAGTTCTGCCTGTGTCCCTATCAAGCAGTGGCTTTGGGACAGCTCCTGAACCTTGGGGATTTAGTTCTTCCTCTGCGAAACTAGGCCTTGGATATAACCTTTTAGTAGCCAAGATTTCATAATCTAAACACATCTTGGTAGGTTTTCTATTCTATATCTCTCAATATATTAAAGATTTTTTTTGTCTCTCAATTCTTAATTTTTTTTTAACTATTTGGGAAAAGTTTCATTAAAGTATTCCTCCTGTCTAGAGTTAAATGCATGGACATGACTTAACTTTCTTTCAGTGATGTGACACAGCCACACAAGAATGCAGAAAGGCACTGACTGCCCTGTAAAGGCCATGAGTGTCCAGAATGGCCTGGAGCTACAGGAGCGCAAAGGCCCAGCTACTCATGTGGATACACAAGAACTGGTGAGCACCTTGGCTCTGTGGCAACTTTTGTTTTTGTAGTTCTCAGAGAACTACTCTGACGATCAAACCAGAAGTTAAAAAGTTTGACAAGGCCCCTCCCTGGTGGTGCAATGGGTTAGGACACAACACTGCAAGCTGGCTGCAGCCACTTCTGTGTGAGTTCAATCCCCGGCCCCAGAGGTTGTGACCCACATGGCGCCTCAGACTTCTCCTGACCTGCCCTGCTCCCCTCAGCAGTATACTTCCTCGATCTGCCTGTTCTGCTCCCCACTCTGTCTCTGGTGAAGCCTCTCACTACCCTTGAATCTCTTACTTGTACTCCAGTTCTGTAGGTATAAATATCTTTTTTAAAAATCTGACAAAATCTTAATTTGTATCGGAATTTTTAGGACACCATATCCTTTTTATGCATTCTTTAATATAGATTAATATATAGAAAAAGTGAATAAAAGTAGAATTAAAAGAACCTCTATTTTCATTAAAAATTTTTTATCAGAAGTAATCACGTGAACAGATGGCTATAAACATAAAGTCACTTTCAGTGTCCCTTCCTGACGCACATTGCACGTGTTTCTCAGCCATGTCACTTTCTCTTACAAAGTACAGATCTTACCAGAGGAGGATGAGGTCCAGATAATTTCATAGCCGTGACTGGAAACTGCACTGTCGCTCTTAAATCGGAGGCGGAGTTGATTATTTTGGGAGAAGATGGGGTTGGGTAAGAGGGTGCCACAGTACACGCCAAGTAGTGGTGAACTGCTCTCATTTCCATTTCTCACCTTCAAAAGTGAGTCATTAATTATTACAGGGAAGCACATGATTGAGATTTCTACAATTTGTCACTGCTATATATTAAGGTTTGAACAATTTGAATGACAATGTCTTGGAAAAGCTTTGTCTTTTTCTATAGTTAAGAATGAAGGTTTCTGAAAATACAAGTCACCCCTTGCAACAGAGAGAAACATTCCATTATACATCAAAAAACACTTATACCTGGCTTTAGATATATCTGCTAACCTCCAGTAATGACGGTGTGAAGGCACGTGCTGTGCGCTCGGTGGGCTATAACCACTACTTATACTCTGCTTTGGGGAGACCTAATTTTAGAAAGATGAGGAGCAGGGGAGTAAAATATCTCCTACTCTGTTCCAGTCAACTTTATTATACTGTTTCCACTGTACTGTGTTTTAAAAGCTGTGTTTTTCCCTTTTAAAATTGTTCAGCTCTAAAAGGGGCTATGAAAAAAAAAAATACAACATACCAAGTACAATAAAGTTCAAGATACAAGAAATTTCTGTATGGGAAAAGGACAAAACTCAATCCATCTATACAATTTCTGATAATTAGATGTATTTTTAAAACATCCCAAAGCTGAATTGATATATCTTTTTAATTCATAGTGTAGAAGAGGCACACATAAAAACAGGAAATGTGTGGTGCGGGGTAACCACACAGAGCTCCACCATTCTGCCCCCCCTACTCCTACTGTGCACTCATAATTAGCCTTCTGCTCTGAGAAGGGACATTTAAGGAATATCATAGAAATGTTATTTGTGCGATGTGGAGTTGGAACCAGCTCAACATGTATAAAAGCAGATTTTATTGATCTATGTATTCAAAATCTTAAGTTTCCCCACTTCCTTTATAAATTCATAATTAAAAGATTTGGTTAATTTCTGGTTGTTCTAAGTCACAGAGTCTCTTCAGAGGCACAGTGGTAGTCCTGCTGTGTGGTGTTGATCTGGAAAGGCTTTTTTTCAGTCTACATAGCCAGAGGGAGAGATAATGTCCTTTTTGGACTATTTTGTACAATATCTAAACCCTGTGGCCTGACCCTGGACAGGTAGCCAACTGTCTACCAGCACACAGAGCTGCCATCCTCAAGAATGGAGAGCAAGGGGCCTTCTATCTGCTCTCAGCTCAGGTCTTCTGCCTGTAGGTCCTCTTTCAGAAAGCTAATGTCATGAGATGAAACATTAGACATCAATTCCCGGTGAAAGGATTGGACAAATGGCTCCAATTAGCAGGAGGATTGGGACGATGGGAGCAGTAGTCATCACATTTGAGGCCCCTGGAAGAAGGTGAGGGCACTGAATATGTGCAGATGCCCAGTGTGATCCACAGGTTGGCTGCAGCGAGGTAGTGATGGTTGAATCTTTGGTGGTAAGTGTCTACTTCTGCCAGAGTTCACATGAATGGAATGTCAAGGCTGGCTGGCATGGCTGCCAGTCATAGACCCAGACACAGTTGTACTTCACAGGCCTCAGATACCATTTTCTTTCTTGGCTTATTGGAGAGGAAGTGTCAGACTTCTCTTTGGATTAAGGAAAGGCAGCCAGGAGCAATAGCTCTCTCTTCAGGTGTGGGAGCTCCAGCCTTTACTTCTCAGTGGCTAGAGGCAAATGGTACTGTAACTCCAGTCAACAGGGTCCACTCAGCATGGAGATCCTGTTCTCCCAAAATACTAACAAACCAACTTCAATGAAGCAAATTAAACAAACAAAAGCAATGGTCAACTCAGTCTTGAAATGAAATAAGCATAGCAACCCTGTGACTGAACTGACATGATATTCTGTCCATTCTCCATTTCCCCTTCAAATTTCCTCCTTTGGGAAGCTTTCCCTACCCTAACTGGTTCCTTTCCACATTGCGTGGGAATTGCCTATTTGCCCTCTATCTTTCCCATTGGACTATGAGCCTCCTGGAGATGATGAAAATGTCAGGTTCCCTGTAGGATTTCTGGTGTATCTAGGAGCTACTGGGTAAGTATGTATGGAATAAAAAATAATGAATGGATTAATAAAGTGAGAAAGGTGTATCTGATGATCACAACTACAGAAAGATGTGAAATATATTCAATGATCTCCCATCATCTGTTTTTTAAATGATACACAGAAGCAACTTACTTCCAAGAAATCATGTCTGCATTCACTTGAGTCCTCGATGCTAAAAGAGTGGAAGAAGAGGGAAATCGTATGGTTCTGTGGGGCTGTGAGAATGACCGTGCAGTCCAGGTCATTATTGTAACTATCGGGCCACCCAGGACTCTTCAGGGTACCAAAAGCCTTGTTATAGTCTCTGTCACAATCTAGGGGGGAAATAGTCATGATTAATCATACATATCAATATGTAGTGCCCTTTCATTAGTCTGATAGGCATAACACAAAAGGACAATTGAATCTGAATATATCTTAGAAAAAAAGCTAATCTGGCCTCTTCATTTACCTTTAAGATAATTAAGATCCCCAGAGGAGATGTGAATGGCATGGAGAGAAAATACAGAGCAGTGTTTCGTTAACAGTCTCATTACATAAAATGACCCCATGTAAAACATGCACCATGAGCACTGCCCTTTGAAAAATATTCTAGAATTCTCTGTACTTTTCTGATCACATTGAGGTGGAGTTGGCTGACATTCAAACTCTTGAAGGCTCTACTTTCAAGGCAGAGTTTTTCATGAGACTTTCTCTTTAAATTCATTGGTGAAATATTTGTTTTGCTAGAATTGGAAAACTGTTCTCCTTTACCATTTTTGGTAAAGAAACCCAGAGTATTTTGATTTGTTTATTTTAATGAAAGGCAGCTTTAGTTTTAATCAAGCTTGAAATGAACATTAAATAAAGTATTCTCTGAAAATAAACTTTTCTGTTATAGTAATAAAATAATCCTTTCAAGGTTTTCTGGTTTTTACAAAATCATTTTCTAAGCTGGATGACTCCTGCATGTGGTCAGGTTGATAATAAATATAGTAACTGGTATATTTTTAAATTAACTAAATAGACTTTGAGGAATATGTTGGTTTTCTAAGCATTTAGTGCTCTATTCACTTTGCCTGTTCAGAGACCAGCTTAGTAAGTCACTAACCTAGGCCCAAGTTTCAGTGTAGAATCTTACTACAGGTGAGTGTGAATTTTTTAACAAACCCGCATGTACTAACAGGAGACAAATCTAGCAATAATTATAATGAAAGTAACTTTATTAGAAATAAAGAATAAAGTTTCAGGGCTCACCTGCAATCTGATAGGTAAAACCCACTCTAGAGTTTTGGCTAAAAGCTTCAGATTTGAAAATGACAACTGCAGTGCTCATAGACGAATAAAATGTTGGTAGCACTGAATAATTTCTTCCGCAGAAATGAACACCGGGGTTTACATTACTCTGAAATGAAAAGGAAACCAAACTTTGCTTTTGATTTAGCTTCGGAAAAGAATAGGCCAGACCACAAATCAAATTGTACTTAACAGGGTGGCTTAGGTAGTCAGCCATGACAATGAGCATTACACTTTATGAAGCTTTCTGCAGACAGACACACATGATCTTGGGACTGAGAAACATCCCAAACTCTCTGAAGGGCAGCGTGTGGGAGGTCAAGTTTCTGCTGACACCATACCATGAGCTCAACATTTGCCTCCTAAAAACAAGACCCCTTCTCTCTTAGGCTGCAACAGAGCTCAGGCACAGCCAGGCTGTCAGAACTCACTGTGGTTCTTCACTTAGCTTTCTCAACAGTCCTGGACTGTTTAAAACGAACCCAGCCTTTGCCCCTTAGCAAATCTAGCTAGAACTTTGATTCCACTGGTGTCCCACAAGGCAGTGGTGTGGGTAATGTGGTCCTGTTTCTCTTTTGTAAAACTTAGGTGGTTCTCGTCAGCTACTCAAGAGAGTAGGCTAAAGGCTACCTAACACCTTGCAAAAAAACAATTCATACCAAAGTGAGGACATTCATCTGCCTTTCACTCAGAGCCAATCCTCTAATAGGTCCTTCTTGGGCACCTACTAAAAACTCCCATCCCCCACTCCAACTTGCCAGCTCCTGTTATTGATACATTTCTGCCCCTCCCTTGCTTTGTGCTATTGGCCCCATCCTATGATTGAACTTGAACTGAATGTGTCCCTAGCTTTTCCATTTTGAGAGACCTAACCTCTAGAAGTTTCCTGGTGGAGGTCTTTCTTGCCTCTCACTTCATAATTCAGAATAGGAATGGCAATGGGGTAACAGAGGGGTGCAGGGGGAGTTCTCCAGGTTCCTCACTGCAACTCTACAGGAGCATCTATCCTTACTGCAGAGTTCTCCTTTGAGGAGCTCTACACCAGTCAGAATTACTCCCATACCCTTCTCATCACTTTCACTTCCTTTCTATGCAGTTGCTTCTTGTCACTGATGAAAGACTTGTGGTATCTTGACTCACTTTCTGTACCCCGGTTCCTTTCTTAACCCTTGGAGGTTTGTTGCACTTCTTTCATCCCTAACATAAGTCTGTGATTTTTAGCCCAGTGTCAGGCATCCAGGCAGACCTGTTCATCTGTTCTCATGTCTCTATCACTTAACTATTTTACAGAGTCCAACAGTATTTTCTCCTTCTACTCTTGGACACTTTATGAGCTCCAGATTATCCCAGTCATCAGTTAATTTTTTTTCTCTTTCCTCCCTAATTACTCAGGCTGAAACCATTTGTTCTTTCCTGTATTGAAGGGCATTGTTCACTCATGATAAATAATGTGTTTATTTGCGGTTAAGATAGCTGCTCTGGAGGTCCACACCTGCTTTACATCTTGTAAGCAGTATTCTGCATTTCATGGACAGTTCACCTGGTCTAACTGTCATGAAGCAAAGGAAAATTGAAAGAGTTATTAACTGAAAAACCTGTTCTATCTAGTAAGGGTACCACTGGGTACAGGGCACCCAGCAAAGGTGGCACTGAAAAAGCCTGTCCTGAAATACACTACCAATGGAATGAAGACAACCAGGTTTGTTGACTTCTAGCAGAGACTAGGATATATCTCAGTGACCTCTAGCAGAGACTATGATGTATCTCAGTGACCTCTAGCAGAGACTAGGATGTATCTCAGTGACCTCTAGCAGAGTCTAGGATGTATCTCAGTGACCTCTAGCAGAAAATAGGATGTATCTTAGTGTCTATGCTTCACACAAAACTCAGCCAACCCAATGTCTTCTCAACAGCCAGCACTTCTCAGACCCTTCACAGGAAGGATCCACTGAACTGAATTTCCCCTCCCTAGCAAGCCACACATATTAATCAGAGAACTCTGGGTATATAATGACAACTTTCAAAATCTTGGAAGATGATTGGATTCTATTATCACCATCACACATGTGTTTGGCCATGACACTCTTGGAAGGACCTGGAGTCCATGGCCCTCAAAGTGCTGACACTATCCAGGTATTCCCCACTGTTCCCCCATATTTACATAGCGGCTCTGAATAAATTCATTATTTTAACAACATAACTACATGATGCAACATCTAAATCTTCAGATGTTTTGTCAATATACATATTTATGGTCAACTGTTCCCTCCTCAACATCTTACCCCAATTTAAGCCCAACTTTTTTTATTTTTAACTGAAACCAGTTTTTATTTCCTATTACTATGAATAGATTACCACTAGACTGCTACCAAATGGCCTCAACTGATTTCCTATACTGACCACTTCAACTCATCCTACACACCGATCCCACAACTACACAATGTTGCCCCAATATGGCCCACAAAATGCCCAGAGCACCAATATCAGAATACCAGAGGTGCTCACCAAAAACTCAGATTAATGGGCCCTACATAAGGGTTTAGTCTCAGTATACATTTATCAAGACTCTCGATGTTTCTTTAAGCATGTAAAAGTTTGAGGGCTCCTGACCTACAGAGACCAAGTATACTTTTCTTAATGCTTACATGAAGGATTTTGTATATAGCTGAAAATCACATGAAACTAGAGGTAACTTTGAAAACTTTTAAAAGCAATAATCATTACTTCAAGTGTTTTTACAAACATTAGTGAAAAGGTCATTAGACATGACTGCCATTCATCCTGTAATTATTACCTCTGGTGAGTCCTGAAACTCTAAGTAATTCTGGTCACAGTCTGAAGAATGCAGTTGTAATGCCCACAGGGTTATCTTGACCTGCTGATGAGGAGGAGCTTCAATGACCCAAGTGCAGATGGATAATGGGGTAGCTGGGCTTGATGAATTGGGTGATGAAACACTTTGTGGGGTCCAAGTTGCATTATATGATCCACCACAAGGCACTGGGATGGGAAGAAAGAAACAACTTACAAGACATTTTACTCAGGTTTCATTACACACCCAATATTTAATATCCTGCCTTCCCTACCCTCCCAACCCAACCCAAAGGAACTCCATTTACAGTATTTCATTAAGGATTTAGGGTATACATTACTAAGTATTATACCAAATTTGTATCACTGATTAAACACAGAGTAATTAACCTGGAGTTCAGGATTTAACATTGAGCTTAGATAGTAATTCATATTGAGGTTAGTGATTAACATTGAGTTTAGATATAAGCATGGTATTTTTAGTGCATGTATTTCATAATATTACCCAGGTATTTTATAATATTAAAATGCCTCAATATACTTACTGTCCATGATGGTGTATGTAGCATTAAATCCTTCTCTTTCTAAGGTTAAGTCACTGACAAATTGAACCGTAAGGAAGTTACCAGAAGAGATGAAAGGAGCAGGTACAGTGGAACCACAGAATGTTCCAGCCAAGTTGGCATTTTCACTATCCCCATCATATAACTGAAAGAAAACTTTCTTTAGTTCTCTGTCATTCACAAAGAAACTGCAGGTTTTACTTTAAAATAGACATGAAATTGGAATATGTTGTAATGAAGAACATACATGAATGTTCCTAAAGCTAGTCATAATTTAGGAACAGAATTGCTATTGGATTCATTATACTGTAATGATTTTAAGTAAAAACATGATAGGAGACCTACGTTTTCTTTTATTGTATTATTTATTCATTGAGGTAACTTTTGTTTACAACACCATATATGAATCAGGGGCACATATTAACACCTCAGATGTCACCAGCCCACACCCACCATCAGCGCACCCAGTTTTGCACCACAGTCCACGGTGGCCACTCTCCCCTGTGCTCCCCACGCTTACCCTCTTAGGTATTTTTCTCATGGGAAAGTAACATATATATGATTTTTAAAGTGAGTCATAGCCAGCAAACTACTTCCTTCACCTCTGCTCTCCCCAGGGCTGGTCCAGCCAATGCAACCTCCTGCTTGCATTCTCATGGCCACCTCCCTGTGGAGCCTCCTCAATCTGCTTTTCCCCCTAAGAAGTCTGTCCCTAATTTGTCATCCCTGGGACACATTAAAATGTAAGTCAGACCAGGTCACCAGGTCACCATTCTGGTCTGAATCTCCTCGTCTCATTTCTACCCACTCAGCACAGACGGACGCCAAAGTCACTGGAACAGCCTTCAAGGCCCAGTTGAATCTGCCTCTGTTCCACACTGGTCCTTCCCAGGCCTAAATCTTACTGTCTCCACCTTGTTGACTCTGATCCTCGAGCAAACAGACTCCCTCCTTCTTCATGGCTATTGCATCTGGGGTTCCCTGTGCCTGGAACCCTCTATAAATCCATATCACCTGATAAAGTATATGGTATTCCCTAACCATCCTATTTAAAAGGTGAACTCTCCAAAATTCCCTTTTTCCTTTCCTTATTTCATTTTTTCTCTGGAGCAAGTATTACCTCCTAAATGTACTCTACCTTACTTGTTTATTTCCTTGTTTTCCACTTGGAAGGAAATGCAAGTTCTATAAAAGCACAGATTGCTGTCTTCCATTCAAGGCTGCATCCCCAGTTTTTAGAAAAGTGTCTTGATATAATATATCAAGGTTTTGACTCCTGCCATTTTTACTACCCACCCCTAAACCTGTTCTATCGGTTTTCTTTATATCAATAAATGATTCACACCTAAAATGTTAGTCAACCTTGAACTCTCTTTTCTTTACTCTATAGCTATTCTACTCTAGCTACCAATGGATCCCAGAGTACTCCATCCCTATCACTATCACCATCACTGTCCTTCTCATTTGTTATTGTAACATCTTGGTAAGTCTGTTTCCAAGGTGTAGACCTGTATCTCCACTGAACTGCATGAATGTTTGCAGACCTAAATCTGACGTTCCTGCTTTGCCTGCAATGCACCTAACATAAAACTCAAAATCTTTGTGGCAGCCTGCAAGCCCCGATCTGGACTGGCCTATGCCTGCCCTCCCTCCCCTTCCCCACCCCAGGATGTTTGGTATAGGCCTCCTGCACTTCCTATTCCACTTCCAGAAACACTCCCTCTCAGCTATTGGAAGGTCAGGCCACCAAGTCCAGCAGTCTCGTCATATGTAATATTGCCCACCCTCGCCTCTCCCTGTCCTATTTTCTTTTTGTAATCAAAAGATAGCATATTTACTGCTTATTTTACTATTCAGGTCTGGGTTGGGGGAGGAGCTGGGAGGTGACACTGATTATTATATTGAATCACCAGCATCCAACAAAATTTCTAGCTACAAGAGACCCTCAATGCATGTTTGGATTTCTCTTAACACATTGCTCAAACACAGTTTTCTCCAGTCAGTGAATCTTCATTTTATTTGTAAAACAAGTATCTTCATGTAGATTCAGATATTGAATTTATAACAGAGCAATGGTTAATTATAAACCTTTGAATAGCCATGGCCACTGACATTATTTTTACGATAGAGATTTATAAATTAGAAACAATAACAATCGTTTCAAAATGATCAGAAAAATAAATAATTTTCCACTAGATGGCACTGTCTCTCCTACTTAAACATAATTTACGTAAATTTCAAACCAGAAGATATCTGAGATTGGGGTGATCTAATCCTCTCATTGTGTTGAAGAGATTTGCCAAATTTTAGCTAATATGATTTTTATGATTAAACAAGTTAAAATTTTATTATTAATCATTGCTGTCTTTATGATGATCTTCACATTGTCAAGTAAGCATTACAAATATTGGCAATTTCAACAGACACTGAATGGGTAGAAAAGGTGGGAAATGTTAGGAGGGGCTCTCATCTCACCACCTACTCCAGTATTTTCTAGCGGAGGAACATCAGTAAAGGCCACAGTCCTCAGTCCTCTCTACCATGTTCCTCCCTGTTTACCACAAGAGAAGTAACAGCTAAAGATCAGCGAGTTGGAGCCCCCCTTTGGTAGCACCATGGCTTAAAGCACGACAGACCTCTCCTTCCGTGCCTGCTGCTCCCCTCAGCAGTGTATTTTGTCCATCTGCCTGTTCTGCTCCCAACTCTATCTCTGCTGAATCCTTTCACTGCCCCTGCACCTCTGGCCTATACCCCAGTTCTGTATGCATAAACAAAAAAATCTTAAAAAGAAAAGATCTGCAAGCTGATGTCAAGAAGCCAACCACACACAATGAGCTCTCTGCCTCTCCTTGGTGGGGGAAGAGTATGTCCTGATTTATCTTCATACACTGATGCTTTATGAACTCGCTCCCAACTCCAGGTCAAAGAGATCCCAGGTCCAAGGACCACAAATCCCATCAATGCCATGAATCTGTATGACTTGACTTCCTGAAGTGGGTATTTCTGGGAGCCCAGGGTGGAGTAAGCACCAGGGACTGGTATAAAACCACATACTCATGGGCCTGACCTGGCTTGGTTTTGCTTTGTCTTCAGTGTGCTTGGGCGG